TTTCCACCTGTAGATGGAGAACTGATCAGTATTAACGGAGGAGACACTTTTACAAGAACTCAAACTTTACCTAACAAAGAAAAGGTAAGATATAAAATCGAGTATTAAAATCGCTTACTGGTCTATCTGAAGGCGTTTGGTATGAGACATTATTATGAGCACTGTCCTTGGTGCTGAAATCATGGGCGCCCGTTAGAACTGTTTTGCAATATTTACTGCATCACCCTACACTGGGGTTCATAGCCATTTAAAACATTAGAAATTTAAAAAAAAAAAAATCTATATAATTATTATATTTGTTGATACAAAGACGACAAACAGACTAAAAGCGTAAATTAAGCAATTAGACTACAATGCATTGCAGAAGGAATTCGTTTAAAAGCTCACGAGAGCCGAAGAAGTCTGTCGTGGATACAGGAAGTCTTACTGTTGGTGTTTTGTGGAATCTCAGCACAACAATAACATTCAGTGAACTCACTCCATTCTCAATGCAGTGCTCCGACTCGGTACGAAGGGAGCGTTCACTGACCATATACATTTTAATACCGGTTTTGCCACAGTTTTTAGGGGTTTCACGAGAAATTACGGGATCAGGATATAGCAGGACCTTATCCATAACAAAACACGTGGGGAACAATGATGTCATAGTCTCCGCTACCGACGTGGACTTTTACTAAATCGGTTGCTAGCACCCAGGTTACGAAAAATTAGGCAGAAGAACAACAGTAACAATATTCACAATCTATGGAGCTTGAAATGTCCTTTCTAACGTTGTTTGCTTATTCACAACAGGTAGACAGATAGCCACAGCAACGGCAAAAGGGATCAAAAATCTATTTAAACATAAGACAACTTATAAAAACAACTAATATGCCGTAAACAGCTTTGGTTTAAAAGAAAATGCTTATTTGAGACTTCGCTGCTACCAAAGAGAGTAAAGAGAGTTTTAACACACTTACTGTTTTCTTGGAGTAGAAAGTGATTTTGCAGAGGTGGTTGTGATGAGTTACTGTCCTGAGAAGTCTGAAGCAATCTTCTGATAATCCATCATAGTTCGCGGTCATTCGGTTACTAATGGAAGCGGAAGAGGAAACAAAAACTTATCGGAGGAATTGAATGAAGCAGAAACTCGACTGCTTTTTTCTGTCATGCAGAGAAAATATTCTCCGTGAGCGCGAATACAGTTTGTATGTGAAATTTTCAACTTCTTCGCTTTGCAACACCAGGTTAGCAGAGCAGAGCTGACCGGCACTGAGCTCAGTGCTGCCGCTGGTGGCTCCAAGCCATATTGCAGCCATTCTCTAAGCTAATACTATTTAGAAAATGTCTACTTTCTTCAGTTTAGCTCAGTAACTCCTGCTTCTGTGTGTATATTTACTTTTATTCCACTCAGTTTAGTTCCATTTGGAGATGTACCCTGTCCTGCGTTATGGCTGTTCTATAATTAAGATTTGGCTATAGAATCAAATCAAAAGCATTTTGATTTCATGATTGTGCATTACCCAAACAGATCGAAAAGGGTGATGCTTTTATGGAAATGTCGCTATTTCCTAATGATGATATAGATTATTATTAGCCTCATAATATTTCTTTACATCTTTACAGAATGTTTAAAGAAGTTTTGACCTTAATATCTGCTTCCAGAGTGTAGTTTCAATGTTTTGGGGGTTTTTTCCGATGAGGTGTCTTGTTTTGTTTTTTGTTTTTTTTGTTGTTGTTGTTTTTGCTAGGCAGTTAACAGGTAGAGTCTGTCACTCCTAGCACTATTCATCATCAATAAAACTATTTTTTAAATGTATGAAGTCAGGCCATGATATACTATTCAGATAGTATTTTTGGCTTTTACCGTGTCTGTGACTGATGTTGCTACAAAATGAGATGCCAGAATAAGAAGACTTTAGCTGAGAATAAAGAGACAGTAGTTAGATCTAACAGCTAGAGGAAAGGGACTCTGTATAGTTCTATTTGACATCAAAGTTTAAGCACTAAGTGTTACATCTGCTGATGCTGATGCTAACATGCCCAAAAATAGCCATGCCTGGTAGAAGCAGAAATGCCACTGGCAAGTTACAAGGATGTAAGTTCTCAAAAACACAACTGAATCACATCAGTAATGTATGCCTGCACCAGCAGCACTGTACTGATAGGTCTAATCAAGGCATTTGTTTTCTTGCCTGCAGTTAATTCATTAAGCTCTCTTTGCATTTTGTTCACTTTTTGTCTAAAAATATCCACAAACTTCCACACTTCCACACAGATGTTTACTTTTGGAATTTGCTGTTGAATCTGATGCCTTAGTGGATTTGTCAGCCTTTTCCATAGTTGACATTTAGACTGGTAGCAGCAAAAGCACAGGTGTTACTCATAACTGTAACTAATCGTCTGCTATGTTCAAGTATCTATAAGAATGTTGCATTAGCATCGTCAAGAGAGGAGGTTAAACAAAAGTCAATGTAAGTAAAAAATACCCACAGAGGATTCTAGACGTGCATGGCCTTTAATTCTCTTGGGCTGTCTCAGACATTTTAGTCAGTCACTCTTTTCAACCATTTCAACCTTAATTTTCCACTGTTTGTATTCAAACTGTCACTGCAATATACCCAAATCAATTGTTTATTAGATATTTTGAAAAATTAATATGGCTACTTTTTAATGGATTGGTATGCAATGTGTTATTGCCCTCATACTACTGTCATACCTCCTTGCTTTAATATTATAGCTGTCAAGCTCTGCACTTGCACTCCATGAACTGTTAAACACAGTTGTGCTTTTATAGGCCACTGTGATAGTTTGTTTAACAATAGATAGGCGTTTAACTGTGTATATACACAACAGTATATATACTCATGAAGAAAGATCCTCTTTCCCCTCCCCCCTCTTCCTCTCCTCTGAACAATCAGAGAATTACCGTCCATCTTTGCAGACATGTGAAGCACTGCAAATACAATCTAATATATTTTCATAAACATCCATAATGTGTGCACAGAGCCCTTATCAGCTCGTGTCAAGCAGCAAAGAAGCGCCTCGTATTCTTTGATCCCATTCGATTTTTTACATCTATTCGATGCATTTGTATGCATTTGATATCGCTGTTGCTTTAAACTGGTGGAATATGTTCAGATAATGCAGGTTACGTTTGGTAGTACACTGTGTAACGCCGGATCCGTGATCCTTTGAGTCACCGAGACGGTATGACCTCATTTCAGGGAGTGGTTCAGCCCAAACAAGCGTGGCCTGATCTGTCAAAACTCCGTTCGTTGGCTGGCTCACCGTGAAGACGACTGATGAAGGGTTTTCCCTCCCTCTTTTTCAAATCTGTTAAACACACTTTGAATACTGTGAGCGAATAGTATGGGCTGTGCAACTTATAAGTGGGTCAGCGTGTGATTTAAATATGACAGCGCTATGTGACTTAACCTGGGATTTGTGATTGCGTTGCTCTGTGTGCGACACAGTCTCTGCTATATGCACAAACTCTCTGCACAACGTGGATCCTGAAAAAATGGTAAATTGTAAATGGCCTGTATTTGTATAGCGTTTTACCTGGTCCTAAGGACCCCAAAGCGCTTTACACTATACACAGTCATCCACCCATTCACACACACATTCACACAATGTCTGAAGCTCTCTCTCTCTCTCTCTCTGCGGTAAAGGAATCCACTAGCCTGTGTGCTCTGTATGCTGCAGCTCTCTGTGAATGTGTATGAGAGAGGAAGAGATGGGGGGAGGGGCAGGTAATTTTCCGCTACTCGTTGCAGTGGCAGTAGCGGCAGGGAGCTTCAGTACCGATCGAGGTATCAGCTCCGCTAGGCTCAACCCCCCCCAACTCGGCTCTGCGGCTGGGCGGGGCCGACAACACCTAGTGTCAATCACAGCTAAATCGGTTGGGGCAGAGGCTGAGGATGAGGAGGAGAGGCTTTTATCCAGGCAACCATCAGAACATTTATCTGTACTCCCTGGTGCTCCAAAATCTATTAAATTATTGATTTTGAAGTACATTATCGTTGTCCAAGCTAAGCATTTATGGCTTGCAACATGACAACCACTCGTGCCTGATGAGTTCAGCAGTTGGATAGAGGGCATTACAAAGAAATGCCCTCACCTCAGTTATAACACAGGGTGACTGACCAGCACAGATTCATTCGTTGTTCTTTATTGTTCTCTCTTTGTCTGTATGTCACACATACACACATCTTATGTAGCACTTCCTGTTTGTCTCCTTTGCAAGGGTGTGTCCTTTGTGACAGAGTGAGGTTAGTGCTGCCATCTGTGGTTACCATGACGACTGTGAGCCATAATGAAATGATGAACTAGTCTGTTTCCAGCGAGCTGCCAATATACACCCGCCCCCACCCAGGCATCCTTCCCAGCATGTGTTACGTAGATGCAAGCACAAAGCAAACATGGTGGATATGTTGAGAGAAACAGAGACAGAGAGAAAGGGAAGGATTCAGTCCAGAGATGCAGTGCTTCTTCAGCACAAACGCCTAGTCAGACAAAGCAGGGAGCAAAGCGAGTG